CACTTATTCAAAAATGCCACTTGCTATTCTTATAGATATACGGAATGATCTAATACTATTTGAGATTAGGGAGCTTACCAAGTCAAGCATATTTGTTCGAACTGATGGGATAGTGTTACTTCCATTGCCCTCGCAAAGTGTATGCAAGGTGTTGCGCAATCGAACAGATGTCGAACCCTCTTTCCAACTTTGATAGGTGGGAGAGGAGGAGAGAGTCTCCTTATTCTTGTAAGATTACAGGAAGTGGTTCATGACTGGCATTTAAAGTCAGGGAAAGACTTACACTAAAATGATATAGCACAACCACGTTACCTTGGATTTCTAATTACTCAAAGGATCACAAATGAACTTACAAGAGAAATACAATCGTTGCATCACTCGGAAGTTTTGATCCAAATCAAACAGCGATGTTTTCGATTATGGGGTCCAGCTCCGGAGTATTGGGTACGGTGTACAGTTATTCTCGTATTTTGTCAAGACTATAATATAAACTGAGGAATTAAACTGATACATCAATATAATACATATTGCAGGTTTCCTACATTTAATTTCATTCGACTCAAGCTTTGAAAAGGCTAGTCGTCGCATTCTAAACTGCTCACATGTTCATTGATGGCACTCTAATAGGTCTGATGCTGTCTTCTACTGGATAACTCGCCTGGGTCATCACAACTTGAACGCACATCACAAGATAGATCTCTTAGAAGTTTGTATCTTACTTTGAAAGCCAAACCCTCTTAGTTGCATCTAATCTTATCAGAGTTTGGAAAACCTTTCGACATTCAAAGTACTCGAGTATAGATTGTAGTTTGGACCGAGGAATTTGCAAACTTTCCGAAGGCTTATTTGCTCGAAGCTTGCCTACTTCTGCCCCTGGTGGAAATCTGCCAAGTCAAGAGATTCGTCACAACATGCGGAATGCTACGTGCAAGCCATTACCCGAAAGCTTACACTTGCCAAAGATTGTGAAATTTAAAACCTCGCTGGGCGGCGTGTAACGCCAAGAGCTACGGAATTCTGACATTCTTTTAAACTTCCTGAGCTGCCGGCTTCGGGTCATAAGCGGCCATAAGTATTACTCCAACGAGCAGAGTGGGATGATTATAATGCCGGGGTTACCAAGCCCAACCTTGACGGCTCAGCTACGGGTGATCGCATTCGCATATCATTGATATGAGCCGCAGGCTGACTTACGTTGTTTGGACGACGAATTCCAATTTTCCGGTGGTCGTGAAGATTGTGCCAATTTCCCTCGAATAAACTTCAACAACGACAAGAATTGCGCCTAAGTAAGCGCATCAAGAGCCTGCTTGAGACTATCCTTGCTGAACTATTGCATGTAGCAAATTACTAGCTACATGGTACTTTGTATCACTTGATGTATACTTTCGTACTCGCACAAGGATTTGATCATTCGGATAGTGGAAACTTGACCACATTCAACAATTCGCTTGGTAGAGTTGTGCGCATTCTCATCTACCTGCAAGCCCAGGCTTTGAGCCTCCCTCATCATCTTGACCCCTTTTTAGACCGACGGACATCCCTCATATCTTGCATGAATGCCACTCAGTTGTCCCTCTTATCTTGGTCCATGCGTCGGTCTATAGCCCATAATCAATTTCTGATGCCCACCAGCCCCATTCAAAATAACTCCACCAGCATCAAAGGTGTGGATAGAAATCAGGGCTGAAATGAAGCCACCAATTGAGGCTTTGCTTGAGTCTGGGGGCGTCTCCGACGCATTTTAGTGGCTATACCAGATCTGTTCGATTGCCGGTGGGATCAGACGTTATCGAGTCTGGCTCTGGGTAAAAGGCACCATCCTTCCGATGTCAGCGACGGGAGTGACGGATCTTCATATGGAGTGGCTCTCAATGTATCTGATTCGAGGAAGAGTAGTTGCAGCGTGTATTTCGTTTTGGTGCTTTGGGATTCTGATCTACACAGGACCATCTGCACCTGGTAATTACTCCAGACAAAATCCCCGAAATCCCCGAAATGTCACAGTCACCAGACGTTCCTCAAAAAGACCTTCCAGAAGGAGTTCATTGATCAACCAGCACCATTTCGTTTTGTCTACGTACCAGAGGAAGTGAAGGGGGGTGATTGCATTATTCCCGAGCAGTCCTATGGCGCGTCATGCGGACATTTTTGCTCAGAACGATTTCTTTTATTTAATATAATATTATCTGATTCTAAAATCAATTTTGTATATATTATTTAATAAGATTTTCAATCTAATAGATTTTATATTTTTATCTAATCTTTTAAATCTTTTAAATCTTTTAAATCTTTTAAATCTTTTAAATCTTTTAAATCTTTTAAATCTTTTAAATCTTTTAAATCTTTTAAATCTTTTAAATCTTTTAAATCTTTTAAATCTTTTAAATCTTTTAAATCTTTTAAATCTTTTAAATCTTTTAAATCTTTTAAATCTTTTAAATCTTTTAAATCTTTTAAATCTTTTAAATCTTTTAAATCTTTTAAATCTATTTTAAAATAATATATTTGAAAATTCATTAAATGAAAGTATAAATTAAATATATTAAGAAATCTAATTATTATTATCTGATATCGTTCTAAGCAAAAATGTCCGTATGACGCGCCATACAGTCCATTATACTTCCGAGATGTATGTTAGCTATTAGTTTACGGCAAAACTTTCCGTAAGTCACTCAGCCACTTAACAAATATATCCGTCACATGGATTGCCTTGGCGTTCGCACTTGGCATACCCACTCCTCGCACCACGTTTGACGGTTAGCCTGGGGGGCTACTCCGGCTAATTACAAAAAGACGAAATCTGAATGATAACACCTTCAATCATATAGAGTACAGCTCTATAAGGATCCCCCCTATAAGGATAACCTCTTTATAAGGATATATTTTTCGGTTCCAAAAAAATTTAGGCCTAAAAAGAGTCTATATCCTTAAAACCCTTCTATTAGGATATCCTTATATTTTTCGGTCCCAGGATCACATATATCCTTATTGGACCAGTAAGATTATCAGAATTTGAGCTATTATATGGAGAATTTAGTTATCTTTTATTGAAACCCTAAAAATGTCACGGAATATGACCCGATCGGGACTAATCGGAAGAAAATTACTACTATATCGGGATTAAGCGGAACCTCTCTATAAGAATACCTCTATATATCCTTAAAAAAGACTACAAAAACCGATATCCTTATAGAGAGGTTTTACTGTAATTATTTGAGTGGGAGATTGATAGGAGAGTAGAGTATGAGAATAGTTTTTTTTATTTAATTAATAGATTCATTCCCAAACTGAGTTCAAGACCCAGTGAAAATCAGTTCATGAATATGGTTCGGTTTCTCGGCGACGTAATGGATACAGCCGAAAGTAGGAGTCGTGACTCGTGGCACTCTTCTCCTGCTTTCTCTGTAATTTTGTGATATTGTGTAACCTCAGTCAGTATCTTGCCTCCTTTATAAGCGGAAAGCGGTTAACCAAATCAAGGGATCCGCCAACTTTATTGTGATAAAAATCATGAAACAAGGCCAAGCGTCTAAGCTCATCCCCTGAATTTACCACAAACTCCATAAACAACGACGGAAACAAAAAAAGAACAAAAATGTGTAATATTTCGAATATCGTTGCTGCTATTCCAGTGCTTTAGCAACAGCAATTGGCGACGACAGCGGGTACGCGCGTTGCCTAAGTTCTTGTGACCTTGGCTGATCAGGATTCCATCTAGGGCTGCATCTCTCTCTGCCGGCAATTGTTTGAACGGTATTTGGCGGAATATTAATGATACTATATTCCATCTTGGCATTGAACACGGAAAATTCTTGAAATGAAATTTGGGAGGGTTCAACATTTGGTACCGTCATACTATCGTGCCATCAACGACGTCCCGGTGTGTCGTCAATAACTCATCGACCCACCGTCCCAATCAAGATACCTGGCCTCGTGCGGATTCAGGGATAGAAAATGGAGATTGCATCCCAACTCATCCTATTCACCGCGATGAAACCCCCACAATTGGCACACGAACCTCCTCGATGCATGATTACAATCAGTTGTAATATATTTTCCAAATTTGAAGAATGTTCTTTGGAACTCTTCAGAGAACGGGATGCACAATGCTTGAAAATGTCATAGCAATTGCAGGAATTTCGTGTTACCATGACACAATGTAAATTCAACGGTAAACATAATTTCCCTCCAAACACGGCAGCGGACCATTTGGCCTTCTTAGAGCCATCGATAGAAGCAGGGTGCCTGGAAGAATCTAGAGGCCTTTTTTTCCTTATTCGGGAATTTGCTAACGTACAAGGTAAGACGTTAGCAAATTGACACCAGAAACGCTCTTTCTTTTTGTTAACTAGATGACCAAGGCTGACGTACATGGTTCGATACGTAGCCTTTGTTCCATTTCAGAATAGCTCTACACTGCGAGTGTACGGAGGCGATTTGAGCTTCAAAAGCGGGAGGCGGCAACAAACCCTTAGCTAATGTGCATTACAACCTTGCGCCTGTCTATACTTCGTAGACCAAAATTGTTCAGAATATTAAAACCTATTTGATATATCATGGGTTCAAATGAAGCATGACCACCTTGCGTGTGTACTGCACTTGACAACAAGTTCTTCCGCTGATGCGTACCACGTTGGATTGATTCCGAGAAGTATCCACCTATCTCCTGGAGAGTTTGGATCAAAGAACTTCCTCCTTCAAAAGGTGGGCATGTCACTCAATGTTCAATCCGTCATCCATGTTCAATCAGTAACAGGGGTCTTTTGTGATTAACCTCAACCCAGCATCCTCAGAGGTCCCATCAAATTCCCACCCTAGGTTCTTGGCTTACTATATTCTCTAATTGAGGGGGGCAACAGTCATTGTTAGTACAGTAAATGGCAAGTTGCCAAAAATTATATAAACAGAATGTAGATCCTGTGTCAAGTTTCTTTTCTCCTCATCCCGACGATCTCTCTTCACTTCTCAATACATATTACACATTCTTTGACTTCATTATGAAGTCGTTCACTCTTTTCAGCGCCGCGCTTGCCGCAGTCGCACAAATTGTTTCTGCTGCTGTCACAGTCAACGGAGCTGCAGAAGGTTTTGCTAAGGGCGTTACTGGTGGTGGTTCCGTAGCTGCTGTCTACCCAAAAACAACCGCCGAACTCGTTTCCTACTTGGGAGACTCCTCCCCTCGTGTCATCGTCCTCACCAAGACCTTCGATTTCAGAGGAACCGAGGGTACCACCAGTGCCACTGGATGTGCACCATGGGGTACCGCGGCCAAGTGCCAACTTGCTATCAATGGCGCCAATGGATGGTGTCAGAACTATGAGCCAGATGCTCCATCTGCCAGCGTCACCTACGACAACGCTGGTGTTCTCGGTATCTCGGTTGCTTCCGACAAGACTTTGATCGGTGAGGGTTCCACTGGTATCATCCAAGGAAAGGGTCTCCGTATGGTTTCCGGTGCTAGCAACATCATCATCCAGTAAGTAAAGCACGAGGTCAACCTAGCTAAATTCACACTAACCCTGGATTCAGAAACATCAAGATCGAAGAGATCAACCCTAAGTACGTCTGGGGAGGTGACGCTATTACTATTAACGATGCTGATATGATCTGGATTGATCACGTCACCACTTACCACATCGCCCGTCAACACATCGTTCTTGGTACGCTCGCTTCCAACCGTGTTACTCTCTCCAACAACTACATCAACGGTGTCTCTGATTACTCTGCCACTTGTGACGGATACCACTACTGGGGTATCTACCTCGATGGTTCCAACGATATGGTCACCATGAAGGGTAACTACATCTACCACACCTCTGGACGTTCCCCCAAGGTTCAAGGAAACACCATCCTCCATGCCGTTAACAACTACTGGTACGACAACTCCGGACACGCGTTCGAGATCGGTGCCGGTGCCTACGTCGTCGCTGAGGGCAACGTTTTCCAGAACATTCCAGTCGTCGCTGAATCTCCAATCGCTGGTGAGCTCTTCACTGCTCCATCTACCACCGCCAACGCAGCCTGTTCCGCCTACCTTGGACACACTTGCCAAGTCAACGGTTTCGGTTCTTCTGGCACTTTCAGCTCCTCCACCACCAGCTTCTTCTCCGATTTCTCCGGAAAGAACATCGCTTCCGCTTCCGCATACGGCACCGTTGTCGCCAGTGTCACTGCCAACGCTGGTTTCGGAAAAGTTACCTACTAAATTATTTAGTGGAAGATCGGTTGCCAGGTTGCAATGGAATTAAATTCGGGGGAGATTCATTCGTCGACTTTTGATGGGTGATGTTTTGGGGTTGAGTTCTTCGAGATGTATATACTTTTGATTACTTGTAAATATTCAATTCAAGATTGCTGCGCACAACAATTTCTCTCCTATGACTATAAAACTTGATTAGTGTGAGAATTTCATGTTGCTTCCAATTTCTGCTTGACTACACCCAAAATCGCTCATTTCATGTTAAACATTCCAGACTTCTCTTTGCAAGCTTTTGTTAGATTTATGTTTTCATAGTCTGGACTGTAGTATGCCAACTATGAGGATTTAACAGCTCAAGACCACTCAATCTTCGCAGGATATTCAATCTTTGGGACTATCCAAATGATTTGATTACATTCAGATATTGAAAGTTCCAAAGCGTTGGATTGCATGTTCAATCTCTGAGACTGTTTGAATGATTTAATCATATTCAGACATTTAAAGTTCTAAATTGCTGCGCTACGTTATGATGATTGAATAACTAATATCCCTACTATGTGCACGGCCCTACTATGTGCGCGCTCTCATTATTTATATGAAATATTATATTGAATTGAATTAAAAATTAAAAAAGCGATGAAATTATTTGAAATTTAGAATTAAGATAATTTGAATGAATTAATGTAATATTTTCAAATCAAAAAATCTGAAATTCTGAAAGTTTTTAATAATAATATTAATAAATAAGATATTGAATTTTTATATAAGAAATTATTTATTTATTAATATATTTTATAATAGAATCAAAAATATAAGTTTTATTTAAAGAAATTATAAAGTTTTTTATATTATAATAAAAATTGATTGAAAAAATTCAACTTTTTCTTTGAAATTCTTATCATACAAGACAATAGCATATCACGATAGAGTATGAGTGATTGGATAATAATAGTATAAGATAGAAAAGAGTATATATATTGAATTATACTAAACTAGAATTCTGATCTTTTTTTTATGAAAGGAGAAAGGATTATATATTGTGTAATTATTGAATATTGATTATAAAAGTAGTAATCGGATTGCAATTTAATCTGGTTAACACTATTCCGCTCCGGAGTATTTCATATATTGTATTTCTGATTATTATATAATCTAATTTATATAGTCTATAATATGATTTCTGTTATATATCTCCCAGATCGAGATGATTTGTATAAACAAATAAAGGAAATTAATGCAATTATACCTTGTTGGAATCTCAATATGGTCTAGATTATATAATGAAACCATTTTATCCTTATTATTACAAGGCTTAACATTCATCATTTATATAATCAATATAAAAAGATAATATAAAGAAAAATTTGATATACCTTTAATTATCAGGAAATTGTATATTCCAAATAAATTAATAAAAAAAGGAATGATATTACCCTATTATATTTGAAAAGTTTTCAAAAAATTGCAGGTAGATGTTTTTCTTACAACCTCACTTTGCTATATATGCCTGCTGATTTGTTATTACAAATAGAAATTATAGGTTTTGATTCTAATATCCACAGATATACTGCAAGATTAATATTATTATTCAAATCGAATAATCGAATTAATGATTATAACAATAATAGCATTAGATTACCAGAGATATTTAGAAGATTTAAGTGATTATTAATTCAATAATTTTGCTTATATATAGAATGAATATAATCTATAAGATATATCTTTTTCTTCGAATTCTTTTCTTTTTAGATATTAATATTATTATATTTTATTTTCTTTTGAATAAATTACTTGTTTTCTAATAAGTATAGTTCTAATTGATTCAAAAACCCTAAAAGAATAGAGTATTGTAATTAATTAAAAAAATATTTCTTTACTGTTTTTTTTTCTTTTACTACTTGTAATAAGCTTTTTTTTGAATCTGTAATTAAATATAATTTATATTTATTCCTAAGATTCTTTACTTTAATAATAATTAATCCTCCAGCAATACCATTAATTATATATAAAAATAATTCTGATATTATTAATCCTATCCCTACTTCTATAAGATTTATTACTAATTGATTATTATTTCAATAACCATTTCTTTCTGAAAATCTTTTTAGAAGTTCTTTATTCGGTTTTTTTTAATTACTTTTTTTTATTTTGTTACTGAATAATAATTGTTATAATTTCAACTATATTGCTTTCCTTATTTGAATGTAATATACTTATTAACAACTTCCTTTAGAAAATATTATTAACCCGATTATTCAACTTATTCTTATCGCTATTGTTCCTCTTATGCCTGTTTTTACTATTATACTATTAGAAATAGATATTATTTTCTGTCTCTGGATTGATTATATATTAATTAGAGACTAGTTTTGGTTTGTTTGATAATATATTTTATATAATACTGTCTCAAGCGTTTATTACAATAATCCTAAATTGTATTCCTTTTATAAACTGAGTAATATAATTATTTCTAATTCTTAGAAGGCTATTGTAATTCCTGTAAACATAAAGAAAGATTATAAATTAGTTAAAATCAAATATAAAGAACTAAATAATTTCAGAATTCTATATTTTCTTAATAATTGATTTGAATTGATTATTTCTATTTTTATTAAATTTTATCTTTCTTATAATCCAAATAGGTATTTTTGTATAATTTCTCTTTTGTTTAATTATTCTAATAAATATGAATTCTATGATTTTTGTATTTCTAATAGTGATTTCAATAATGATTTACCTCTTATTGATTTTTAGTATATAAAAGCTGAAATTGATTAGTTAAGGGTTTTTGTTAAAACTTGATTTTTATAATCTGATAAGTTTATTAAAGAATCAATAAATAATTATTCATATTTTAATTATATAAAATCCTTAATATTTGAACAAATAAAGACTTTAGATAATTGTTATAAGGATTTTAGTTGAATTAAGAATATTTATTACTGGAGTTACAAGATATATATATATAAGATTGCTTTAGATACTATAATATTTATAAAAAAACTTTATACTAATACTTATAAAATATAGGATAAAAAGGTATATATTTATTTTTATTCTTGATTGATTATAATATTAATAATAAAATTAGAGATTAGAAAAACTTTGTAAAACTCTTTAAGAGCTTTTAATAGATTTTGATATATATAAATCTGTTTATTATAAAACTATTATAATCGATTTTATAAAAAAGGATTTTCTTATTAAGAAATATATTTATAAGGAATTATTTTCAAAGGTTTCTATAAAGAAAAATAAATCTCTTGAATTTATTTGATATTTTGAGAATAAGATTTGTAAAGCAAAAAGGTTTATAAAAAATAAGTAATGTAAACTTAATATATTCTTGAAAAAAGAAAAGATTAGGAAGTATATTAAATCGAATAAAAGAATTGATTTTTTAATTAAAAGAAAGTAATAAATATAGTTTAATTAGTTTTTAATCTAATTTTTTGATTTGTATATTAATATTCTATAAATTGAATAGTAATCGAAAGTATTTGAATTTCTGTTATAATAGATTTTTTATTAATCTATTTATTATTATATTAGTAATAGATAAATAAATGATATAAAAACTTCTTTTTATATATTCTTGATATAACCATATATTCTATATATTAATATATTTAAGTTTAATAATAATCTATTTATTTTCATCTACTATTAGACATATTAACTATACATTATTACAAAAAATAATTACCAGTTTTTAAACCATAAAATCAATTTTTTTTAATAAATATAAAATAGCCATTATTTCTTTTACTATTCTTTTTACCCCTAACAATTCTATTTCAATAATAGAGATAATAATAATAGATTAATATAATACTTTTTAGAAAACTACTCCTCCAAAGAATAACATAATATACCCTTAAAATAATCTTCTGATTTTCTTATCATTTATAAACAATATATTTGAAAATACAAAAAGTTATGAAATTAATAGAAAACTGTATTCTATAAATAAAAAACAAATATTCCATAAATATATAATATAATAATCAATAGTTTTTATATAATCAGGAAATAAATTAATAAGAAAATGATTTAGTTGAAAAGCTATAAATACAATATCAATATATATTGTAATTATAATATATAATACTGATTCTATCTTCTCTTAATATTTCTTAATAACTGATATAATAGTTATTCTATTAAACTTAACAAATTCAATAATTAGCAGTGGAATATATATACTACCCTTATTGAGCTTGAATTTCTTAATAATCTTTTTAATATAAATATTATATACTAGCCAAAGTTTCTTTACAGATCTGTTTTTCAGAACTCTGATTCCCAGAAATCACTTAATATTACCTAAATCCTTAAGCTTATAAACTAATTTGATTTAATCAATAATCCTCTTAATAATAGGTTTATTGTTTTTATAATATATAATCTAAAAGTTATTAATAAAGAAAAGAATAAATATAATATGCTCTTTATTGAAATAAATATATAATTTCTATATATATCTGATTATTTTAATTAATCTCAAGATTAATATGAAATCCTTAAATTATATAAAAAGTAAATTACAGAGCCTATATAAGATTCTATCAATAATCACATCCTTTCTTAATTTCTTGAATTTATTAGATAGTAAGTATATTATAAGAATACCAATTGGATTACATTGAATATTTACAAAAACATTAACTATATTGTATTACTTAATCTCAAGATTATATTTAGTAATTAGGAATATTATAATTTGAAAAGATTGATTTATAAATATAACTATATATATACTCTCAATTATAATTTTCTTCTATAAATCTTCTCTTATTATAAAATATAATTAACATCAAATAATAAAACCCTAATTATCATTTTTATAATTAAATACTCAAATTAAAGAAATAGATTTAATAAACTCTAATCCAGAATCTATTTCATATTATATTTCTCTTAAATATAGATTATCGATTTCTTTTTAATAATCCACCTTAAACTATAATCCTAAAATATACTTATCAAATTATTAATATTAATTA